ATTTGAAAATTGATCTAAGACTTCGGTAATTAATATAGAAGGGTTGATGATGTGGTGATGCAAAGACAAAAGATGTGTGAAGCGGCCGGCATATATCTTCACCGTAAAATACAATATAACTATTTACATCCGTATTATCCCCTTAAGTTGGAGCATGGGGATTCAGAATGCCAACTTGGATACGAAAGACTCAAAACTCTGCTTTCCTAAAGCCTTGGTGAAGATATCAGTAAACTGCACATGTGTAGGCAGATAACTAGGAAGGATAGTGCCGGCAAGAATATCATTGCGAATGCAATGACAATCAACCTAAATATGTTTTGTGCCCTCATGAAACACAGAATTAGCCGCAATATGTAACGCAGCCTAACTATCACAATATAAATGGACCAGCTGAGAATTCGAAACGCCAAGTGATAAAAGAAGTGCCTTCAACCATTTAACTCGCAAATGGTAGAGCCCATGGAGCAATACTCAGCCTCGGCCGAAAACGAGCAACCGTCTGTTGTTTCTTAGTCTTCCAGGATATAGGAGAAAGACCAATCTTAATGAACCAACCCGTAAGAGACCGCCGAGTCAAAGGACAACTAGCCCAATCAGAGTCACAACAGGTAAAAAGCTGCAATTATAATTAGCAGGAAGAAAAATACCCTGTCCAGGAGTACCCTTCAAATATCGAACGACTCAAAGAGCAGCATCCCAATGAGCCTGCAGAGGCTTCTGCATGAACTGAGACAAGGTATGTACAGAATAAGACAACTTATGCTGGGTGACAACGAGATAAATCAAGCGACCAACCAGTCAACGATACTGTGCAGGATTTGGAAAAGGAGCGTCAGTAGCGGAAGCAAGATGGTGGTTCTGCTCAAGAGGAAGTCAACCGGTTTGGCCCCTAACAAGCCAACCTTAGAGATGATGTCCACAGCAAACTTGTGCTGACAAAAAAAAATTCCAAAAGAATGACGAGCCACGTCGAGACCAAGAAAATACTTAAGAACCCCAAGGTCCTTCACATGAAAACATCAATACAAATACTCCTTGAAAGACAGGAGAGCAGCAGTATCATTGCCAGAAAGAATGAGGTCATCGACATAGAAAAGAACATTAATCTTCACACCCGCGCGCGTCAAAGTGAACAAAGAATAATCAGATGTAGATTGCTGAAAGCCATACCGACAAAAATCACCATCGAGCTTAGCAAACCAACAACGAGGAGTCTGACGGATACCATAAAGAGAACGGCGTAGGCGACAGACCAGACCAGGTTGAGAACTAGAAAAACCTGGGGTAATTTCATATATACTTCCTCCGTGAGATCCCCATCTAAAAAGGCATTATAAACATCCATTTGATGGAACTCCCAACCCATGGCAGCAGCAACAGCAAGAAAAGTGTGAGCAGTCACCATTTTCACAACAGGAACAAAGGTCTCATTATAGTCAATGCCCTCGATTTGGTTATTGCCAAGAATGACCAGATGCGCTTTATAGAGCTCAATCAAACCATCGGAATGATATTTAATTTTAAACACCCATTTGCAGCCAATAGCAAGTTTCCCATTTAAAAGAGAGGCCAACGTCCAGGTGTTATTATACTCAAGAGCCTGAATCTCTTATTGCATAGCAGCGCACCAGTGATCATCGCGCATAGCTTCTGCAAAAGTACGAGGCTCCACACCTACAGCAACACTAGTCAAAAACGCACGATGGTGCTCAAAAAAATTGTCACAACTCACATATTTGAGTAAAAGATAGGACGTACCGGAGGAAACTGATGAAGCAGATGAGCTGAGAAAGGCGCTTTCGGAAGTGATGGTGTGAGCAGCAAAATCACAAAGGCGAGTGGAGCAAAACTTGGTGCGATGACCACGACCCAATAGTTCTTCCAGCGGCCTAGTAGCAGACGAACCCCCCCCCCCCCCCCCAGTCAGCGAGGAACCATCAACAACCTGACCCTGAGTAGAAGAGTTAGGAACAGTAGTAGACGGTGTGACAGTTGATGAAGTCGGGGGAAGAGGGGAAACATCATCATCATCATGCACCAAGGGCAATGATGGAAAAAGAGTAGTGAGCGCATCAGGAGTATAAGAAGCCATGTAAGAAAATTCTGACTCAGAAAAAACCACATCACGCGAGACAAGAAAATTCCCAGTCTCTAAATCATAAACTCGCCAACCTTTTGTCCCAAATGGATAGCCAACAAACAAACACCAACGACTGTGACTAGCAAACTTATCCCCCTTCCGGTCCTAGTTGCGCACATAACACAAACATCCAAGCACACGCAGATGAGAGAGGGAAGGTGGTTAGCCATACAACAATTCACAAGGTGTTTTACCATGCAAAATACTCGAGGGAGTATGATTTATCAAATATCCAGCAGCTAAAATACACTCCCCACAGAAATCAATAGGTAGACCGGTTTGAAAAAGCAACGCACGAGCAACGTTAAGAATATGGCGATGCTAACGCTCTACCGACCATTCTGCTGGGGGTACCAACATAGGATGTTTCATGTAAAATGCCAGTCTTACGAAAATAAGAAGTCATGCACATAAATTCAGTACCATTATTGCTACAAACAGTTTTGACCAACTTGCCCTATTGACGCTCAACCATAGCAAAGAAATTTTGTAAAGCGATAGAGACCTCTGCCTTATCAATCAACAAATAAATCCATATGGCTCGCCAAAAATCATCAACAATGGTCAAAAAATAATGTGCTCCAGAGAAAGAAGGGGTCCGGTAAGGTCCCCACAAATGACAATGTATCAAATAAAAAATAGCATGAGTCTAAGTAACACTAATAGGAAAAGTATCACGAGTCTGCTTGGCCCGGAAACAAACGTCACAAGCTTTATTACAATGACTACTAGAACTTCTAGAGTCAACATGCGGAAGCAATTCTAAAACTTTCGGGGACGGATGCCCTAACCGTTCATGTGATAAATCAAAGGAAGAAAGGCCAGAAGGCACAGCAGCAACAACAGTCTCCACAGCCCGAAAGAAATACAGCCCCTCACATTGCTCACATGCTCTAATCGGGATCCTCGAATTTAGGTCCTGAACAATACACAAATCAGGAGTAAAGTGAGCAATATAAGAGGAATCAAGCAACAATTGTGACACAGAAATGAGGTGACATTTTAAATCGGGCACATAAAGCGCATCATGCATAGTCAAACTGCTGCTAAGAACGATTGAACCATCCTTAGGTTATGTTTGGAAGCTTTTTTTGGCCTGTTTTGCTTATATTTTTTCACTACCCACGTATTTGGCAACTCGTTTTTTAATGACAGTTGTCCACAAAAAAAAAAGGAAAAAGTCTACTTTATCAACGGTCACATGCCATCTGCAGAAGTAAACAGTAAAAGCTGAAAACTTTGAACTGGAATATATTCGGTGTATACCCGTGAGCGTTGGAAAGCTTTTACTCCCCATAAATTTGCCTGCCTTCTCCAATTACTCTCCATAAATTCATTCACATCTTCCTCTTCACCTTCAACAAAATTTCAACCGAGCTATTTCTAGTTTCAAACTCTACATCTTCTTCATCAGACCTTTGAAGATTGTCCTCCAAATAGCCTCCAAAATTCGGTGGAATTGGGGACCAATTTTTCCGTCAATTCAGGCCGGCACTTCCAATCCTCCGGGCTCTTCCAGATTATTTCTTCTCTACTTCCAAATTCTAAATATTTCATCATCCCAATCCTTTGGAAGCTCAGATCTGGAGAAATTTGCCCTCGTTTTTTTAGGTAAAACTTCATATTTGTTTAAAGGAAGCTCTCATTCATATCCGAATTTGGGACTTCAATCTTTTGTCAATGGATTTAAAGCTTTTGGGTATTTGTTTGTATTAGTCTTTGGAATTAAGTAAAACAGATTGTGTTCATGAATTAATTAAAGTAGTGTTTTCGGCCTAATTATTCGGCAAAGACGGAGTTCTTGATATGTTGGAATTACTTCTGAATTGTGGAATGAATTTGTTTGGTTAATCAATTTCGTTTGATGGGGAGGATTCATATTGTTTGTGATTATTTGTAGGCCAAATTTTGGATGTTCGTTTGTGGGTTCTTTGAGATGGGTTTTATACTAGTTGCATGGTATTTTCTGGCGAATTAAACAACTTATGTACACTGTTATTTTTTATTAATTGAAGGATTAAAGACCAGTTGAAGGGTGACCATCTTGCAACGATTGGATTTCAGTTGCACAAGTAAGTTCTCCACTTGTTTCCTAACTGTCTTTCATTGTGATGAAATGAGTCAATTTGAAGCCAAAGATTCTACACATTTCATACATACATTTTAGTTTTGTGGAAACTGTCCTAAAATGTTGTAGAATCTAGTTTTAGATTTACCACTTTGTTATGATCTTGGTATGCCTGTCCATAATTCTACAGTAGGATGCATTGTGAAAACTTCAAGTGCTCCATCTTTAGACTCCTATAAAAGTGAAGAATCCTTTTTATCTACGCATATTAGCAATATTGAATATGAAACAGCATCAAATGATCTTCAACTTTGCATCAATAATTACAAAGAGGTATATATAGTGCCAATAGAGATGCCGTGAACTTTTATTACTGGTCACTTCAGTTGTTTTTATTTATTTCCTTTTCTTACTTCACTCCTCCCTACTCCTTGTGTTAGGAAATGGAGGACCAACAGAAATGAAAACAAAAGAAAGAGAAGGAGATGGACCTATCTGACCTTGGGCATTTTATCCAATTAATGCTAGATGATCAAGATCAGGGGTTTCTAACTTCCAACACGTTCACAAAGGGAGAGTTTGAGGAGATCTCGAAGGAAATCCAAAGTCGCACCAAACATTTCTTTACAGCCGCATTTTTGCAGTCAAAGTATGGACGACTTCGGGCAGATTGGCGACTAATGTAAATTCTGATATGATTGCATATTGATAATATTTTTTTTTTGTATTTGTTAGGGAAACTCGAAAGTTAAAAAATTCAGAAGCCGGGGCTTGGAGTTCTTCGGTGAAATGACAAAATTATTTTCTCATTTGACTGCTTCTGGCGATTACAACCTTCCCCGTGGAGTTGTACTAGCCGATTCGAATGAAGAGAGAGAGATGGAGGAAGTGTTTCGAAGTAGTGCAATGAACAGGTTTGGAAGAATGACAGTTGAAGGTGTTCCTAAAAGTGGACAGACCTTTGAGATAGGTGGAAGCTCTAAAAAAAGTGACAACAGGGTTATGAATACAGGAGGTAGCTCAGGGGGTCGAGCTTCTAAAAAGAGCCATGACAGCCGGGAACAAAGCTATGATGTTGCGGTGGATCATTGGGTCGAGAAACAGTCAGCGAAAGCTAAAGATGATGATTTACTATCGGAGTGCATGGACATACTTAACGGTATGTAGTTGCCCGATATCGATACATATGTCAATGGAACAAAATATCTTGCACATTTATGTAATCGAACCATCTTCAAGAAGGCTACTCCAGAGCTACGCATTCATCTTATCCGTGGTTGGTTCTCTTGATGTGATATTATTGTGTTGGGACATTGTTACCTTTATTGTACCCAGTTAACCTACATGGTAGTAGCTAATGTGCAAGTTTGGTGTTCTAGTTTCCAACTTGAACATCAAATTCGTGGTACTTATTAGGATTGATGGTATTATTTCTAGGATGCATGTTGTTCTATTTTCCAATATTGAACATCAAAGATGAAGTATGCCATAGGACGATGGTAATGTGGTAGTAACTGCGAGTTGGGTGTTCTATTTTCCAATGTTGAACATTTAACTTGTGATATTAGGAAGTATTATACAAAAATATAAGTTCTACATCATTAGAACTTTTTGATGTTTTATTTTTCAAGTTGAACATCAAACTTGTTCTGGACGTGTATTAAAGAAAACTTGTCTAGTTTGCTAGTATGTTTTTTTTCCATACGGGATAAAATGTATTGTTTATGGCAATGTCTGATTCCTATTTTTTGTTATGTTTTTGCAACCGTAACTTTTCACGTCCAATATTCCCAACCAATTTCTTTGTACGTACTTGATGAAAGAATGAATTAAAAAAAAAGAACAAGGGCAAGATGGTAAAGAAGTAGTCTTTGTACGTAATGCAAAATGAATTGATCAAACAAAAAAAAAGAACAAAGGCAAGATGGTAAAGAAGTAATGCAACGTAATGCAAAATGAATTGATAAAACAAGAAAAGGAACAAAGGCAAGATGGTAAAGAAGTAATGCAACATAATGCAAAATGAATTGATAAAACAAAAAAAAGGAACAAAGGCAAGATGGTAAAGAAGTACTGTAATGGTTGCCTTTGTCCTTAGCATGAGAAGGAAATACAATGCAAAAGAATGACTGTAGAACTACAATGCATTCCAATTATTTGCTCTTTTTTTTGCTTGGGGGGGGGGGGGTTATGGGGTGTATGCAAAAAAAAGTTGATAATTTATCTACATATCTGTAGAGCCATGTGCCAAGTAGTGTAATTGCAGTCTTTGGCTCTGTGAATGGGATGGAAAATCACTTGATTTGGGAAAAAGTGAAAGCAAAAAAAAACATGTAGAGCAATACTGGATTCCAATAAATTGCTTATGGGTGGGGGGCTATGGGATGTCTGCAAAAAAAAGTTGGTACTTTGTCTACATATCTGTAGAGCCATGTGCCAAGTAGTGCAATTGCAGCCTTTGGCTCTGTGAATGGGAAGGAAAATCACCAACATATCTGCATAGACATGTGCCAAGTAGTGCAATTGTAGCCTTTGGCTTTGTGAATGGGATGGAAAATCACCTGATTTGGAAAAAAGTGAAAGCAAAAAAAAGCATACAGAGCAATAGTGGATTCCAATAAATTGCTTCTTTGGTAGGTGACTGCATGTTTGCAAATTTTTTACAAGAGAAGCTAGTGCCAACTGTAGAGAAATAGAGTATTAGTGTATGACAAGAGGGAGGTACCATTTTTTGCTGATTTTTTCGGGCCTCTTTCTGTGCATCAGTTGTTACTTCCTCTTGATAAGTGTATTAGAATTGTATGGACAATATCATGCCTACCAATTGTCATATGGCCCACAATATGGCATAAGCAGCATATATAATGAAGTTCCATTTTGCAATCGTCCCAGAAATACAGAAAGTGGTATAACCTAGCAATTTTGAAAACTGCAATTTTTTTGGGTGCTGCTTACGCATTTGGGTATTATATATATATATATATACACACACACATATACATATATATATATATATATATATACACATATACATATATATATATATATTATTTTGTGTCCCTTCTTCCTAACCACTATTATTCTGGTTGTAGCACCATGACAGGATGTGGAAGATTTCCAAATTCATTTCCTGGGAGCTATGAAGTACTTGATGATGATGAAGATGAGCTCGACGAGCTGGTTGATACGATTATGGTTTCCAGGTGGATCAAAAAGAGAGATAGGGAAGAAATAGGACGGATGCCTTATCGTAATTCATCCCTTAGTGGCCAGCAATGGGTGCAAGAAATATTAATAGGCCACCATCAACGAATATTTGAAAACTGCAGAATGGATGTTAATACATTTATGCAATTTTGTCAGGTTCTGCGAGAAGGTGGCTATATCGAAGAAAACCCCCAACAGCTAGTATGCCTCGAGGAAGCTGTATGTATGTTTTTATGTTTAGTAAGTCATAACACAAGGCAGCGGGTACTTGCTGAGAGATTTCAACACTCAACAGAAACCATCAATCGACATATACGCCAAGTTGTGCATGCAATAAATCATTTGGGTGCTAATGTAATTAGGCCACGAAATGAACATTCAACACACCAGAAACTCTTACATGATCAAAGATATTATCCGTGGTTTAAGGTATCATCTTTTTGTTATTGTTTAATTTTAAATAGCAATGCTGATATGTAACATGGTTTATTTTATATATGGTTATATGTTTGAATGGCAAGATTGTGTTGGGGCGCTTGATGGTACGCACGTTCCTGCATGGGCTCTTGCACATAGAAGGGATGCATTTCGAAATCGGCATGCATAAATTTCTCAAAATTTTTTTGCGGCATGTGATCATGATATGAGATTCAGCGGGTTGGGAAGGAATTGCTAATGATGCAAGAATCTTTGTTGAAACAGTGAATAGAGATGACTCTAACTTTCCTATACCTCCCCAAGGTTATTATTCCCCGTGACATCATTTTTCCTTTGCTATATATCAAACCCAATTTATCTACAATTTAATGTAATAATATTGTGATATAGGTAAATTTTATGTAGTTGACTCCATATATAGAAATATGCCAGGTTTCTTGCACCTTATCGAGGTCAACTATATCACCTCCAAGACTACAAAGGTCGTGGTCTAGCTCCAAAAACATGGAATGAATTTTTTAATCACCGTCACTCTTCTTTAAAAAAATGTTATTGAAAGGACATTTGGTGTACTGAAAAGGAGGTTCCAAATTTTACGTGGTCCGATGCCAAATTATATGATGCATCAATCCTTGATTGTTATTGCTTGTGCGACCATTCATAATTTTATTAGGGATGAACAACCCGATGATGAGTACTTTATGGAGCACGAGAATGAGGATATACCTGTTGATGATGAAGAATATCCGCCCTATCAAGAGTTTGACGCATCAGCTCCAGCGATTGCTCAATGGAGAGAATTTCGTGATAATCTGGCGGGTCAAATGTGGAATGCCGCAATAAACTGCGACCAATGAAAGGAAGTGTACTTTGATTCTTGGTTTTGAATAATAAATGTTGTTTGTCACAATAATATAATCGCATGTGTTCTGTAATAGATGCTGTAACCTTATTCATACTTGTGTGAGCATTTTTTTCAATGATTTATTTTTATGAATTGGTGTGTAATATTCGGTTGGTAATTCAAGCATTGTTCCAAATTTACTACACATTAAAATGCATTTTTGTATTTGCAATTTTATTGACACGGTTACGAGAATTTTTTTTTCATACATCTTCTGGCATATATTAATTAATTAATATAATCATTGTTGATGACCATGAATTATTTTTTTAAAGTAAAAATTTTTTCATTAATCTTTAACAAAAGGTAAAATTTTCGTGTACGCAAATTGTAAAAGTGAAAATAGGCGAAGTTGTTTGGAACGTTAATGCGTCAAGTTGGAGCAATAATTTTTTGATTTGGGCCCAACCATTGTCTCATTTGGAAAAAAGTTGACTTTGTTGCCAAACCTTTTTTTGGCTTCCCACAAAAAACAGACATAGTCGAAAAAATCTCTACCAAAATATTTTCTAGAAAAAACGGGCCAAAAAAAGCTTCCAAACATAGCCTTAGTTACTAAGGAACAGTGACATTGGGTACGTGAACTGGAACAGCAGCAATATCCCAGACATCATGAAAATAAACCAGAGAACCCGTCATATGATTAGTAGCTCCGGAATCATACATCCACCTGTAAGAAAGTGGCTTACCAAACAGCTTCTAGGAAGGCCCTAATTTAGCTGAATTTAACAAAGTAAGTAAAGTGGACCATTGGTCTTGATTTAGACTAGTAATTGCACCGGTTGGGACACCCGAACCAAACCCTGAAGCCAGTTGGACCGCGGTATGCCCAACAGCTTTAGGAACCAATCCAATAGAACCAGCCGAACCAACCGAGCCAACCGAACCAGAACCAGATGGAGAACCATGTCCAGAACCGCAACCTCGTCCACGTCTGCCACCGCCACCACATTCACACGAAGAATCGGCCAATTTTCCGGGTAGCCGATGAGTTGAAAACATTCGAAAACTTCGTGGACAGTATTATGGCAGTGAGAATAGAGAAGATTTCGCCCTGAGCCGCGGCTGCGTGCCTTGGAATTGGCTGAAGAAATCAGAAGAGCAGCATCACCGGCAGAAGGAGTAGAAGGGCGGATGCTGGGAGTTGATTGAACAGCAAAGGCCATTTAGGAGTTAGAGCAAGACTCACGTTGCGCCACGGAACGAAGGCGCTCTTCCTTGACAACGGGAGAATACCCTCGTTCAAGATTGGGAAGAGGATCGTTCGACAAACTTGTGGAACGAACGGAAGCAAATAAATCAGAATTCAGCCCCATTAGAAACTGATGAAGGTGTTCGGTCTCGCGATGGGTTTTCATAACCGCCGCCATCTTGACTTGACAGGGAGCACACAACTCGGTGACCGACGATGTATCGGAATTGCCGACATCATCCCAATGTTTCTGAAGCCGTCCATAATAGGTTTTGACGGAAGAGCCACACTGCTTGCATTCGGCAACATCCGTCTTTAATTCCTGGACTCTGGAACCAGTGATGATGGAGAAACGTTTAGAAGGTGATCCCAGAGATTGGCGGCGATTTCTTTTTGCGGAACGGTCGACTGGAGTGAAGGGTCGATCACGTTCAGCAGCCAGGATGTAATCAGAGACTGAATGGTCCACCAATCGTCGACATTCTTCGCTTTCGTGGCTTCGGAATTGAACGATCGACGAAGCCAAATTTCTTGCGAGCACGGAGAGCCATTCGCACACTTTAGACCATTCAACATAATTGGAGGCACCCTTCAATTGAACGTGGGTGATTATATTGCCAGAGTGGTCGTTGGAAGTAATATCATCGGGTTAGATTGTCCTATGAACATCAACATCATCATCGGAGGAAGAACTCGAGACATCCGACATGATGGAAACCAATTCTAGTTACAAGCGTGGTGCTGAAAACAATATGTTGCGGCACCGAAAAACAACACAGCAGCAACCGAATTATATAATCACCCAACGAAGCAGCAATGAAGCAGCAACAAAGCAGATCGGGAAAGAAAGAAAGAAAAAATAAATCTGAACCAGGCGAAAATTGGTGCTTTTTTTTTCTTCTTTTCTTTCTTTGGGACCGAACAATTAAAAAAAAAAAACCAACCATGGCCGGCTACAAAATCTGATGTAGCAGAAGAAGATCCCGGCTGCAAGAACATATCTGGTAGATGCTTGCAGCGAGGAATAACCACAGCGGTGTGATTGGAAAACAGCAAAAACAACATCAGCCAACGGTAAAGAGAAGAAGCGGCGGCCTTCAACAAACGATGGCAAAGCTTGGGACTGCCGATGAAGACACTAGAAGAAACCATAGAAACAACGAAAAACAGTAGCAACATCAATGAACAAAAACGATGGCCGCAAGAAGCAAGAACCAGTGGAGCCTGCGAAGTGAAGCCCACGAGCGAAGTGACGAACAAAGGGAACCAGTGTATCAATAGGCGACGCTCCAGGAACTAAGAGAATCCCTGCGATTGATACGATGCGAAGACAAAAGATGTGTGAAGCGATCGCCATAAATCAAAAGCCGTAAAAACGATGATTAAGGTTTATACATTGATACACTTATATAATACAACAAGGCTGTAAAACGATAACTACGTACCGTAAAATACAATACAACTATTTACATCCGTATTAGGTAATCAGTTTGGTTTAGTTTGTTTCTTTTGGGTTTAAAGACTTCGCGTCTCGTCCTGAGTTTTCTCGCAACCCTTACCGAGTTTTCCCGTATCCGTTTCCTGAGTTTTTTAAACGTGGTTTTCAAGGACCACCGTGGTCTTGAAAGACCACCCTTCCAAGCTTTAGTCAAATTTTTGAGTTCATCATGATGGTTTTCAAAGACCACCGTGGTCTTTAAAGATCAACCTTGCATGCCTTGGACCGAGTTTTCCCGCAACGGCTTCCCGGATTTTCCCGCATCCCGTCCCGAGTTTTCCCGCAACCCTTACCGAGTTTTCCTGCATCCGTTTCCTGAGCTTTTTAAACGTGATTTTCAAAGACCACGTGATGTTTAAAGACCACCCTTGAGTTATGAAAGATGTGTGCAGTTTTGTGTTGAAATTGCATGTGCAGAAAAAATAATTAAGGTTTAAGTATGGAGCCATTTTTCATTTTGTGGTTCCTCGAAGTTTTTCATCGATCTGATTTTGTTGATTGGGATCATAAATTCTCCAAAACTTAAATCATTTGAATTTGTTCTAGACTACAAACAAGAATACTATCTTTTTAATTAAGTAAATATTGGGCCAGTTTTTTGCAGTTGGGCTCGGGAAGGCTTAGGTGTGGATTTGAGCTGGATTAAGCAGAGTGAAAGGCTGCGAGTCAGGCGTCTAGAAGTCTCGGGGTCCGATTTCGAAGGAGAAGCCTAGTTATTGTTGGATTAGAATTGTGAACCGACTAGGATTCAAGTGCTATTTAAAGAAATCGGCGGTAGGGGGAATGACACAATCAAAACAGCATAAAATTGCTTTCTTTAAATTTTCAATCTTTTATTTCTGATTTTATCTCCAAAGTTAGGTTCTTCGATAACTCCTTAAATAAGACCGATTATCGATGGCTATACCTGATCTTCAAAGGTCATGATAAATCTGGCCTTCGGCCAATTTGTATTTTTCCCAAAAAATCGTACCTGATCTTCAAAGGTTATAATAAAATGGTCTTTGGCTGATTCTTATTTTTCTCAAAAATTTGTATATTCAATTTATTTAGCGCATGTTATTAAGAACAACGCACAATCGTTTGAAAGATATATTGTGTGATTTTTCCAAAGAGGAAAATTGTGCAAACATATTTTCGGCATGCCCGGTGGGACAATTAAAACTCTAT